GTTTTGAAAAAAAAAAAAAGGGCCAAACATACCAACCGCCATCACCATCGCGCGCTGACGAGTTTTAAAAGTCAGGTCAAGTAAAGTCACGCCGGGACGAAAAAAAAAACAAAAACAACAACGATACTTTACCGTAACCCATCACAAACCCTCACTCTAATAACTCCCCACACGGAAAACCCGAAACGTAAGTGGAGAACACACACATACCTACCTACCGGTAGCTCAGTTAAAATCCCACCAACCAACCAAACTAACCGATCGCACAGTTTCTCACATAATCCGTATTACCCCACCCAAACAGGAGCCCCGTCCTCTCCCTCTCTCTCCCTGGAGAGTACCGTATGATACGTAACTTATAACCGTTCCCCCCCCCCCCTTCGCTCGTCGGAGATTACTATCGCTGCCTGAGCCATGCTTCACCCAATTGGCCGTGAGGGAAGGGCTGGGCTGCCACCCTAATTAATCTCCTATCCACCCATCCCGCAGCCGGCCGGTACTTGTACCGTACTAGAACTCGTACGCGCATGCGTGAATCGCGATCACCGTTATCGTACCGTATCGTATCGTGTCGCATCGCATCGCGTCGCGGGTAGATTGTTGGTTGTTGTTGTTGCTGTTGTTGTTGTTGTTATTATTATTATCGCCGTTGTTGTATTTACGCGTGACGTAATGATTTCCGAAGGCATTGGCATGATGAGGGGGCGATAAGAGCAAATGGCCGTACAAGTATCGAGGGGCAGAGTACCGTACAAGTACTGATTTGAAAAAGAAAAAACTCAATCCCAGCATCGACGAGGTGTGGCTATTTTTGATTGATTGGTTCGGATCGTGGTTCCGTGATGGATGGCTTGATTAGATGGAGGGAAAGGCGAATTTTTGTTTTTGTCCGTCCTTGTTGGCGGAAGTTGTTGAAGAGGGTACGGTATTGTACGAGTACTGTACCGGTAGTACCCTAAGTGGGCTACTACCAACTACTACCACTACCACTTCTGGAAGAAGCTCGGCACGTGGCCGGTTGGAAAGCTTATTTGTTGAATGTGACGTAGTAATTCAGAATAGGGTTCGGTGTTTGTAGGATTGTAGCCGGCTCTGTTGTATCATGCTCGTAATTGTTGTAATAGTAGCAGTAGTTGGTATAAATGACGTATTCCTCAAGCGGTTACCCTTTTGTTATGATCGAACGAGGGGTGAATACGATATGCTCCCCCCAGGGCCGCAACCGCATGTCCCATAAGTTATCCCCCTCTACCGTACAGCAGGAATAGCTAGCCCCCCTTGTGCACGAATACCGTACCAGTAGTAGTATAGCGGCAACCTTCGTTCGGTCCAAGGATGTCATCGATCGTGAAGATTACCCAAATGTTTCACGGAGCCCTCAGCAAGCAAGCCATTCCTGTGTTCTCTGCGCCGCCCCCCCCCCCTGTAACCCCGTGTTGGCGCCCCAGTAGCGGAAAGGGCGGGTCGAACATGTGGCTCCGATACCAATCCTATTCCTAAACGCTGGGTTACCTTGTGAAGCTCGATAACACACGAGGTCCCCCTTGTCGGATAGATCCGATAGAATGATAGCATGTGCACAGCCCCCCCACCAAAAACACGGGTTCCAAATCGCCAGCTTCTTCCAACCCAGGTCGTATCCAGGTAAATAGCCTGCAAGGTACACTGTACTCACACCGTCCATCAGCCATGGTAAAGCCTAATTTATCTCAAGCGAGACTAAGAATGCTTCAATAGAAGTTCACAAATACACGAACGGTAAGAAAGAGAAAGGTCTGTTAGCAATCCCAGGTGAGACAAAAACCCTAGTATCATATCCGCGAACTCATCCCATCATCATTTCCACCAAACAACTCCCCCCCCCCCCCCCGCCCCCGCCCAACAACTAGGACCGCCATGTCCGTCCGCCAACCTTGAAATATAAAGGCCGAAGTAAGTAAGCAAGTAGCCAACCAACGGCAGTTCGGTTCCCTAGAGTCTATAACGGACCCGCTCCAGCCCGAGCCCTCTTAGAAATCATTACCAGGGCTAGATCGCACATCACAAACCCATATACCACCCTTCCCACCACCATCACCAACCATCACCACCATCAAAGCACTTCCAAATACCATACCTCGAAGACATACCATACCAGCCGTGGATGATAATAATAGCCCACGAGTGTAGCTATCACTTCACAGCAGTCTTTTTGCCCCCCCCCCCCTCTCCTCCACCTTGCCTCAAACCTCCCACTGAGACAAAGCCGTAGAAATCAAAGGTATAGCCTAGGGGTGAGCTAGGTGAACTTAAAAATGGAACGAAAAGCTCACGGCCCGTAAGAGGCCTTCTGGAGAGAGTTTGAGTGAACCGTGGACGAGGGTGGTGCCGTACGCTTGATAGATGGGCGAAGGAGGGGGCGGAGGGGGCGGCACTGTCGCGAGATCTCGGTCAAAATTAGTAGTTAAATCAGTTGGGTATCATGGTGAGTTTTAGGGAAGGCGTGAGAAAAAAAAAAGGTGAAAAAAAAAACGAGGAAAAAGTGCAAAGCGGGGGAATCTCGCATCCCCCCCCCCCTCCCTCTTCCTTCCTCCATCCAGGAGCCTTTCTTCATCCCTTTCACCTTCGCAGTCACCTATCATTCATCAGAGGGATAGAAAGATCCATCGAGGAGTAGGGTCTCAAGCTAAAGAAGCCATCCTTCCATCTAAGACCCCGACAAACTTTTTTTTTAGAAAAAAAAACAAAGCAAAAAGAACAGTGAGGATCGGGTCTCAGCCCACAAAGACTCCACTTCATCATCATGATAAGTATGTAATAAAATCTGGTAGCGATGAACCCTCATCGACCGCCAGCGCTGTAATTTATGATTCCCAGGAACCTCTTCTCGGGAACCCTTGACACGCACACATACTGGTACTCGAGCACACACACATCATACCTACAGCACTCGTAGAGCAAATAATTAAGACTGGATTACATTACATGGCATGGCATGGCATGGCATGACATGAGCGTTCATACATTCAGCGTGATCCCCGCCATACTCTACGATACTAACGGCCGGAACTCGACTGTGCTAAGAGGCTGGCTGAACCATCACAATGAACGGATAGACCAGAAGGAACATAAACAGGACCGGACCATCTAATGGAAGACAATACGATACAGTACAATGCATGACATTTGCAGAACCGATTTGCACCACGAGTCCACGACAGCGCAACATCGCGCTGAGCAGCAGCAGTAGCAGTGCTCGAGTAGAAAAGAGGGAAGTAGGGGCAGCAAGGCGGCCAAGTGAGCAAACCAGACCAAAGCAAAAAGACCTCATACCTTCATACCCTCCTTTCCTTACCCCCCCCCCCCCTTCCCTCCCCCTCTTCCTCCTGACCCAAATTATCATACTACCGCCGCCACTACATCCATCCATCCATCCATCCATCAGGAAGAAGCACGACAAATACGGTACCCATAACTATTAGCCAGCTTCCCCAAATGGGTATAATAATAATAAAAAAAACCCCAAGTTAAAACAGATAGAAATAAAAATGGAATAAGCACCCACCATTCATCAGCACATATCGACAGTATCATAGGAAAAAGATAAAGAGAGAGGGAAAAAAAAAAAAAGGCACCCACCACCCTGGCCACACACCCACCACCACCCCCCCAATACGTGTCCCATACCAGTTCATAACACGGCAGGGTAGGGTAGGGCACACTCAACCTTTCAACTTTCCCACCACCACAACCACCACCACAACCTAACAAGCGTACCCATCCTCGCCCGTTTCACCCGGGGCAAATCCTTCCCTTCACCCCCTATCCCGGACATATCCATACCCCCTTGCCTACCCGAGTGAGAATGTGTGACTTCTCCGTGTTTCAGTGAGTATCACAACGTAGCGGGATGGAGGGTTCGTAACCCCACTATACTCGGCTATGATATCGCACTAACCAGCTAGCTAACTATCTGGTTAGCTGTGATATATACTCCTCTGCTCCGCCATAGGCAAGTTGGAAGGAGCAAGTTTTGATCGTGTTCGGAGGACGTTTGTTCGTTTCTCTGCCTGTCAGCCGGCCGGTCATTAATGCGTTATACTCGTACCGTTAGTCGCTTTGTTTTAAAGTTAGATTATCATACTTCAACACCTGATAGACAATATTGACTGATTCTTTGATTGGTTAAGTTTATTTGATCTGAGGCAATTCTAGCAAAGTTAGTTACCTCAGCTACCTAGCTACCTACACCCCGGAAGCACGCAAAAGGATATAGTACGAATGAAATAAGAGTGAAATGGAAAAAAAAAAAAAAAAGCATACTGCAGGATATAAAAAAAAGAAATGGCTAAGCAATACGTACAATGTACCCTGCAAACAGATACCCGCCAACAAATGAGATACAAGAAGATGGGGAAAGAGATACATGATAAGAAAAAAAAAATGGAAAGAGCAAAAAGCAATGTAGAGAGGAAGGGGTTGGGTAAGTAAGCACGGCTGGAGCACCCGGATTTGATTCGGGAAAAAGGCGAGAGAAGGGGGAAGAGGTGGGGGGAGGAGATATCGAGAAACAAAGACTGAGGAGGTTTGGTATAGTCGTAACAGTCGTAACAGTCATTAAAAATCATTAATGCAGGGGAATAAGTCAGTAGAGTAGAGGGATAAAAAACACGGCAATACGCCTCAAGATAGCATGTCGTCTCAAGAGGGCGAGGGGGAAACGCTCAGCGTACTCCTCTAGCGCAAGAGACGAGAAATGAAAAAGCAACAAAAACGACAAAAAGCCCACCGCCCCCGTTTGTTTCAACCCTTCAATGTAAACATAAATTCCGTCCTCCTTTTTTTTTGAAACAGGAAAAAAAAGTTCCGATTTATCCCAAACAAAACGATGTGTGCCACCCTATTTCCCTTTTGCTCCATATTCCTTATACACTTCCAGACAGAACAGAAATCTAATATCAATTGCCGCGTTTTTTATATCATTGGTTTTCTTTTCATTTTTTTTTTGTTATTTTCCGAGTTTAGGATGAGGATCCGGAGGGTTTCGAGCGACGACTCCTCTCCAACCATCTGCGCTTCCCGGCTCTGGTCTCAAGGTGGGGCGCTGTTGAGGTGACATCTGTACCTGCTGCCATCATACTACTCCTCATCTTGTTGCGATATGCGTCAACTGTAAACCGTATTAACGTTAGACACATCTCAAACAATCACGAAGGAGCATTATGACCTACGAGCTCGCTGCAAGAACATTGTTCTCCCTGCAAAGACCCTGGATTGACTCCACGACATCCTATAGCCAAGTTCATTCAAATCCATCTCCTTCTTGCGCTTGGGCCCAGATGGTGGTGGGGGAGCGATAGTCATGCTAGTTCCATCAAGCATGGGAACAACTACTTGTGTTTGTACCTCTGTCTGTGAATCGTCTTCCATCTGAGACGCCATGTAAGAGCGGGGGTACACAGAGTTGGACTTGCGGTAAGAATCAGGGATCTCCTGCATGTGAACCTGATCAAGCATCACACGGACACGAACGCGCGAGCCACGGTGCGGATCATCGACGAGAATGAACTTTCGACGTTTGTGATCCGGAATGTCACCGAACAGTGAGGTGTTGGTGTTATTCGGGGGAGTAGATGCAGTTGCTGCCGTAGGAGTGTTAGAAGAAGGTCCCATCTGTTCCATTCCATCGTGCATCGAGGGGGGCATGGATGCACCTCCAACGTTTTCTGCCGGATATGCAGTGGGGTACCCATGAAATACATGTCTCGGTCTTATCTCATTTCCACTGGCTGGTGCCTGATGGTGGTGGTGGCTAGCATGCCCGTTGCCAAATTCCTCCCCCCCACCTACGGCCGGTGAAAGGTGGCCGGAGGTGGATCTTGAAGTGTTTGCAGAGGGCATTTGCCCCTGAACCCCACCAAATTGTGGGGTGTGGTGATGATGCAGCATAGTTCCCATCTCTTCTTCTCCATTCTGAGCAGATGGAGAATCATTCGTGCCGGGGTGGTGGTGATGGTGAAGTTGCGGCTGCGAGCCCGGAACAAGCCCTGGACCTTTCAGCCCTAATCCTACACCCGCCGAGGGCACACCATGTGGGGATCCTGCACCAAGGTGGGTCTGTGCAGCCTGTGCACTCGCTTTGCGATTGTTAATTTTTGCCATCCTCCGAACTCTCCTGCTTCGCAATCTGGGGTCTTGATTAGAGTTTCTCCAGCTGTCTACGGCCCGTTGAATCAACCCCCTCTTCCCACGTAAACACGGATTCAATTCTGCCAGAGCCCAGCCCACAGTATTACACTCGGTTTCGTATACCAGTCGGTTACCACGATACTGGTCCTTGGAGCAGCAAGCACGGGGATACACGCAGTTTTCTGTCTTAAAGTCGTGAGAAAGATTATCAACGGTGACCGACTCCACATCGCAACGGATGGTATACTCCATCTTAACTCTGTCTCGGGAGTACTCGAAAGCTATCCACTGTACACCATTATTGTCTTGCCTCACAACTAGCGGAGTAGTGGCCGGAATAGGTCCAGGAGCGGCATTAGGGTTGATTGAAGTGTTTCCTGGCCCAGGCTTTGTACCCGAAGAAGGGGTGGAAGGCGAAGCTCTATGAAGCGGTGTTTGGGTAATCTTAGCGGTCGATGAAGTGTTTGGAGCCACATGTTGGTGGTGAGGCTGCGGTGGAGTCATTGTTTGCCCTGAAGTTTGTGACATGAGGAGTGGTCCATTGTTCAAACCGTGATGTTGGGTTTGGTTTGAGTAGGAGGGAGGGCCTGCTGGCATCGAGGGGTACTGCTGTGGATAGCCGTACATTGGGGTTTGCATGGGCTGTGTAGTGTAAACAGACCGATGATCTGGCGCTGTGGGAGACGCGACAGATGCCGGTGAATTGGACTGAGGAGTATGGTAAATAGGGGGGTATTGCGGGCGATTCATTGTGTGCGTTGCCATAAGATCTGTTCCCTCTGCTACTACAGTCAATGGTGAGCCAAAGATGCCTGTTGAACTTGCCAGCAAGAGCTAGCGAGAAGCAGACAACGACGTGGGCACTAGGAGGGTAAAAAAGAAAAAAAGAGCATAACACGTAGGGGAGAAACAAGCAACATTTACGCACCTTGAGATGGGTAAGAAGGGCCACTACCGCCTGGGGTGCCGTAGGGGGAGGGATGGGTATAATAGGCGATGTCTTGCGGATGAGAATGCTGAGATCCAGGCAGACTGGGTGACTGAGCAAAAGATGATTGTTGTGGAGGAGGATGTGGTGACGGGAAGGCAGTTGACGAAGGAGTGGGTTGCCCTGAATGTTGCTGTTGATGAGGCAGGCTAGGTCGGGGATGCTGGCTCTGCTGCTGCTGTTGTTGCTGCTGTTGCTGGGGATGCTGGGTTGACGCAGATGACGGTGGCGGTGGGTGCTGCTGAGGGTGACCTGGATGGGTATCCGGTTCAGTGGCCGGCTCCTCCTTATACCCTCCTCCTACTGATGGATGTGACATTGGGGCAATGTGGGACTTGGTAGTCTATGATAGGCCAGTCCAGCTGCGAGGGGAAGGGATGGAAGGGATGGCTGCGGTAGAAAAGCAACGGACAGGAGAAGAGAGGGTGAGAGGCGACTACCTCCTCGAATATGACGGCGGTGATGCTTGCTTGCTTGCCGTAAGATCTGTTTCTCCCGTGTAGTTGGGGCGTGCCACAGCACCTGAGCCCAACGCTCTGGGAATATGTTCTTTTTTTTTTCTTTCTAGCTTGATGCTTGACAGGATTTAAATTTAATCCTTCTTCTAGGTGATCTCTTTAGGCTTCTCTGGTTAGTCAAGTCTCTTGAGCTGGACGTGTGTGCGTATGTTTGTATGTAAATATGCTATACGTCGACGAGCCAGCACTGCTCGAGCAGGCAGACTCGAGGTAGAACACACGAGAAAAAAGAAAAAAAGCAAGCAAGTAAAAAGAGTCGGCAGAGAGGGGAAGAAAGAGAAAAAGAAAAAGAAAAAAGCTGAAAAAGGAAAGAAAGACAAGAGGGAGGGAAAAAAAAACCCACAGAGCGGCAATGTGTGAAAAGATGGGCGCGCACAACGCAGAAAACGGTCTTTGGCTTACTCGAAAGCGGTAGTCCCAATACCGTACTAGTTTTAATGGACCAAAAGATTCTCGAGATCAGGAAGTGCCGAAGGCCCGATTCGAAGAAGGGAAAAAACGATTGACTTCGTTTGCAAGTAAAAATAAAATTTCCCAAAAAAAATAAAAATAAGAAAGAAAAAATAATGATGTAAGGCAAGGAACAGGATAATTGAGCAGTGGTTTTTAATGGTGGGAGGTGTGGGATGAGGATTAGGGGGGGTGGGATGGGGGTGATGGGGGTGCGAGATGGATTGGAGGGGATGCTCAACTCGGCCGCGCGAGTACTCAGTACAGTAAAAGTGGGTGAGAGGGGGGGGGGCAATGTGAGCTGCTGAGCAGGTCAGAGCGGAGAGGAGCAGAGCACCGCAATGCAGTCCGATGTGTACTCGCGCAGTGAGTAATGAGTGATGGGAAAGAGAGACAAGAGGCGCTGCAGCAGCAGCGAGTGGGAAGAGAGAAAAAAACGAGTTGTAGAAGAAATCAAGGTCAAGGGGGGGGGGAGCAAAAAAATAAAAATTGGCAGGTATAATAAAAAAATATTAGGAAGTTTAGTAAGGTACCTGTTTCTTCTGTTGTGTATCGTTTTTGTTTTATCTAGAATAGAGACGGTTAGATATTGTAGCCCCGTTAATCAGACGTAATTATGCAGTTGCAATAACATGCAGAAGAAGGAAGTTTGCAGAAAGGCGTCGCTGTTCCAGAAGACTGGACGGAATGCTGGTCAGTTGAATTGTATTCAACGGTAGAGCAAATGTATGTGTAAGGGTATGGCAGGCAGGGTAGGATGTAGGACGGATGTCTACCAACAGAACGGCCGGGTTGGGTTGCAACGGGTGACTTTTGTGGGTGTGTCTGTCCTGAATCTCGGTCCCGATCTTGAGCGCCCAGTCAAGGTCTTGGTTGCCCGTTAGAGTCCTGGCGCTTCTTCGAAACAATCCTTGGAACTATTATTAAGCGCCAGCCAAATGGGATGGATTCGGTCCCCCGTCACACTTTGTCGTGACCTGAGCAATCGAGTGTTTGCTAAGTGGAGGCCAGCCCCCGGTATCGACAGACTTGGGGAGAGCAAAAAAATGAAAAAATGAACGAACGAACAAATGTCAATTGCCGGGCATCAAATGTAAGAGGGGATGGGCATGTAGGTCATGATTGGCTGGGCTGCTGGGATACGACAGAATGGGATAGCATAGGATGGCCTGGGAAGAAAAATAGACAAGAAAAAAAATGAGAAAAAGAAGTACTGTGAAGAAACGGATGCAGACAGTGGTGTGATGTGTAATGTATGTAAGATGCGTAACGTATAACTGTGGATAGAACGGAAACGAAATGGAAGGAGGGGTGGGAAGATGCTCGGTGGCCGGGACTTACTTGTTTGTGGAACCCAGAGAATCCTCGCACGAATTAATCTATCAGATGTATGTACTTCGGAGATAGGCTTGCTTCGTGCATGGACTGATTGAACGCTGGTGCGCAGGGACGGTAATGATTGATCAGTGGACCACCGTGAGGAGAATTTAAGTATAAGAGGAAAAAAAAAAATGCGTGGACGGGATGTGAGAAGGTGAGTGTGGGTGCTTGAATGGGTACCCGTACAACTCAGTTTGAGTGCCTCAGCACGGTAGGGAGAAGTGGGTTGTGCGCCAAGAGTATACTGAAGAAGCCGCGGCTGTTGATGAGTGGGAAATAATCGGTGTGGTGGGGTCCAGTGTGGCTGTACGCCCGGGTCAGGAATAATAAAAAAATGAAAAAAATGAAAAAAAAAAACCGCTGATAGGATAACAGAATGTTAGCTGGGTGTTTCCTGTCTTGCACTTTCGCTCTATTTCCACCCCTCTCCCCTACACTTTCCCCATCTCTCCATCGGAGCCCGGGAGTGTGAATTTGTGGCTAACGCGCACTCATCACAGCGATTCAAGTGATTGGAAAGGGATAACACATAAAAATAAACAACAAAATGCAGTGCAGGGTGGAGTCATGGCAAGAGGGTTAGGTTTGTCTTTGGAGGAATAGCCAGAGAAGGCCTTCCTGACAGGGTTACTACTCCATACCGATACAAGTATGGTAGAACTGACGAGTCAGGCCAGGCCAAGATGTGGTAATAAGGTATCATATCAAAAATAAAACGAAAGTAGGAATGAAAAATAAAAATATAAAATAAAAAGATTGATGATCTGCTGGGAAGATGACTTGCTTTTGCTTGGGTGTGAACCCAATTGTTTTTCTTTTTTCCCAGCGTCGCGCTGTCGCGTGCAGGGCGTGTTGGGACAAAATTGGTTGAAAGACACGAGGATGTTCAACTGCAAGATCGTTGGCGGACGACCGGGGAGGGCTGGTTAAAGAGGGGAAGCGAAAAGAACGATAGCCGCCTCTACGTTACACGCCAGAAATCCCTACACAAAAGGGTATCCCAATTCAGCGCCCCAATTGGATTGAGCCGAGTTTCTGGTGGTTGAGTGGGTGAGCGAGGTGCGAATGTGAGTGTCGTGATTGCCAGGGCTGGAGACAGGGCAGACAGGCGAATGCGTGGAGGCCCAGGGTCGAGATGGGAAAAAAGCCACGGGGGATGGATGCCTTCTGGATCGAGGTGACAGACGACAGGTAGTCTAACGGTGCTGTGCAGGGGAAGGGGGAGGAAGGGGGAGGAATCGACTGGGCGAGCCTGGTCTATAAGAGAAGCGAGCAGGGTGGTGGGGGTGGGAAGGGGGAAAGGATGGTTCATACCGGCAGACGGTCAATCCTCTTGAAGCTAAGGAGAACCTACGAGTACGATGATCGATGGCCAGTCAGAGAGGAAAGAAACCTGCCCGGGCGGTGAGCAGCAAAATAGGGAATAAAATAAGTAAAATGGTAAGCGAAAGCGCCGGACAATCGGACTCGAGCGAAGATCAATCGGTATGGGTCTCAAAGAAACATTGGCGCACGATAGGGTACAGGTACCGGTATGGCACGGTTTGATATAATATCAATTCCGAAAATGACAATGGTCGAGAAGGAAATAAAAAGGAACAAGAGTTCGAGAAAACCGGTAGTGGATGCAGGCAAGATTTCTTGTGTTTTACCCATCCCAAAATCTGCGATTTCACAGTGAGTATCTCCAATAATGTACTCGAGTACAATACTCTACTGTGCCGTAACTTCCTTTTGGACTTTTCGAATGAATATTCATCGCCAGCTTCTGTGCCATCCGTGATACCCGGCATTCAGACGGGTGCAAATATCTCGGGTAACCCTCACTTTACTTTCTTGATTGAAGAGATTTCAAGGGGGAGAAGTGGCTTACCGGTAATGACCCGCCGTTTTTACTGTCAGCCATGGTGATGCATGATAGGAGCAAAGTATCATACGGTACTCGTACAAGTACCTCCCTCCTGCCTCCCTCTGCACTCACTCCCTCTACCGTACCGGTATCGTAGGATCCAGTACCGGCAGGTAACTGGACGGATTCTTCTCTGGCAAGATTAGCGTGCCGAAGCCGTGTCCCCTGCTCGAGTTTACCCCGAAGATCCTGGCTTTCTTGCAATCGCTGGGTCAAGTCCCGAGGCCCGACCAGACGCCCCTGGGGTACCGGTACAAGTAAATTAACACTGCTAGGCAATGGGTTGCTCGATGGATGATGCATTTTTTTACCCAAGAGGGAACGAACGAAACCCCCAATTGGTCAGCAGCATCACAACGCAGCCTTCTTGTTCTCCAGCGAAGTCTTGCTGTGATAATGCGCCATATCAGATCTTCTGCCGTAAATTGCAAATTAGAGAAGTCAGAATCCACCTCTCTTACCCATTTCTATCAAGACATATGGCACAAGAGTCGGGAATTTATCTGGGTTATCTCGACCCACTCCTCCACCCATGACGACACCCGTCACGACCCACGACCGATCTCAGGCCCAAGATTTGTGATTGGACAGAAAGAGAGGCTTCCAACACTAGGCATTACTTTTATTTTATCTCCATCCTTTGGCCCGGCCTTCTGATGTCTGGCTTGCGGGGGGGTGGAGATGCTGAAGAGTGCCGATGCGACACGATAGGGAGCGATGAGAAACTTTTGCAGCGGGGGGAAATGGAGAAAAACAACGCGGGTGGAAACAAAATTTTCGACATCACCCGTCGTTGTGATTTGCTTGGCACGGAACCTTGTGCACAGACCGATTTTGGTTAGATAGAAAGCTAACCCACGTGCTCCACCTGTACTCGAGTATCAACCATGCTGTGAAAAGGGTTGATGATGCAAGGGATACTCTTTTTTGTTCATTTGCAAGAGTACGGTGCAAGTACTCGTACCAGTTCTGAGAAAAGCATACGGTAGCCCACGAATATTTCGACGGCCACCTCCGAGGTGCCCTCCTCACCGCGAGAAATAAAGCATACACCGTGCCGGT